GTACTACAGTACTAGTAGTAACCCCACCAAAATCACATCACAACCATACTCCCGACAGATTGGGGGTAAAAGAGATACAAGGCTCTATTTATGTTCACTTTTTATGACAACAGGCCCTCCGTTAGCGGCTAGCTGGATGGAAAGCTATTACATCTACTGCACATTTAGATTTTGAAGAAAGATGTAATTTTAGAGGGGGGTGATTTACAACTTTCCAATGCATAAATACTATTTAATAAATTTATCTCAATACTTTTACTGCAGCACCATCATTGCCAATGCCCTCCCATAATAATCTTAACATTTATGTCAAAGCAGTGAGGTTGTGCTGTAAAAACTTGCTGCAGTGTGATTCATCCCTTCATTATAGAATTGAGGAAATATTTATGTTGACTGTAGTCTGGTGTGGCAGCTTTTGGAGTTTAAGCAAAGGAAATAGAGTCACTATTTTATAATAAAACTGTAAATTAAAAAAAAAGAAAGACAAAATGTAGATGGACATTTCACAATAGAATATCATTTCAGCAGATTAAAGTTGTTGGGGCTCACATCTTACCTAAAAGCTTCAAACCTCCTGTGATGCACTTTAGCATACAGTATATATTTATACATCTAACTTAAATTCATATTTAACAAGTCAAATCCTTAGGATGTTCAGGGCAAAATTTTCAAACTTAGATATTTAAAGTTAAGCGCCTAAATCCTTACCTAAGTAAGGCTGACCTAATTGCTCCTGAGTACTTACTGCTCTAAATGACTGTTAGAATGTCCTCGGACTCCAGTGAGTATTGTTACACTCAATACATATTTTTAATATTTGGTTGGCTTTTACTACACAATAAGCATCTCTCTGTATTTAAACAGATACAGCTAGTTGTGACAATTCTTGAATTATATTTATTGAGCTGTAATACATAATCCATTGTACATAATGATATGCATTATAGTTGCTAGACTTAATATTTTAACAAAACAAAGGTGTTTATTTAACATACAATTCCTCTATTAGGAAGTGACCATAGCCAAGGTATTGCAGCATTTTACCTCAGTTTCCCTACAACAATCTTTGATCCACCCCCACCCTAGAGGTGACCTGGCCCTCTAACCAAGCCAAGATTCCCTGGAGAAAGAGAGGCAGGCTGGCTTACCTGTAGAGGATTCTAGCAGTCTTGCCCAGGAAACTCCTCTTCCTCCTTTTAAGTCCCACACCCTGCACCAGTGGAATGGAGTAGATTAACTGAACAGGGCTGACCGGCCTAAGGCCTTTCAGCCCTTAAAGGAGCAGGCCACTCTGTTACAGAGAGCCTTTATACTTAAATGAGAGAGGTCCAAACAAAGTGAGGGCTGGCAGAGAGCATGAAGGAGTTTGGACAGAGTGGACATTCAGCACTAAGTAGAAAAGGCTGATCCATTATTTGTTAATGGAGTAAATTAGAGTCTCTGAAATAAACAAAACATACACACAACTTTAGCTTCTAACTAAGAAAAAAAACACAGGTCAACCTAGTATCCAGTCACAGAGTAAAAACCCAGTATAACTATGCAGGCAGAAGAGTACCAACAGATCAGTCAAGATGGACTGCTTACCTTGTGGCCAAATGGCAATGCTATAGGTGTGCAAAAATATGTGTAAACAGAACACTTTTAAGTTTTAATATTCTCCAACAAACAGCTTCTCTCTTTGAGAAGATGACCTCAGTTACTGCATTTGTCTACTGACAGATGCTTGAATTCAGTGGAACTACTCAAATGTGTAAACCATTTGCGTGTTTGCAGAATCAGGGCCCAGAACTCCAGAATTTTATCCAAACTTTTCTGTAACTGCAGACCCAAGAAGTCCCAACTTTGGGAGATCAAAAACCAGAGCAGAGCTAGACCAATGCTGAGCACTCTGAAAATCCCACCTAGAATTTTTTTTAAAAAGTTGTTTCTTGTTTACATTTGCAAATTCAATAATAGTATTTTTTATTTTATTTGCAAAATAATAATAATAGCACCTAGGATCCCTTGTCATGGAACAAGACTAGGTTGTGTTAGCCGCTGTACAAGTACTGGACAAATTTTTTTTTCCCTTCATCATTGCATTTCTAGTAAGTGGCTGCTATTCCTGTAATGTTTGCAGTTAAAATACAAATATCACTACAGAAATCAAAATTCTCTTGTTTAAAGTATCCATTGCTTCACTTTGTGGATAATGAAATCAGCTCCTTTGGTCAACATTTCAGATCCAAAGCTTCCTGGTGGTAATGAAACAACAATTATGGAAGCATATGTCCCTCCCACACCCCTGTTCCACTATTACCTGAACAGATATTCATTTTATTTTGGAGATCAACCAAACTTCTTACCACTTTCTGTGATCACAATTGATATTGAAAAGAAACCCTTCTTATTCTCCCCACCATCTACTCTACATTTCATGTAAAAATCTTCTTACCCAAGTAAATTGCTGATGCTGTTAAAAGCAGGAGAAATCAATCATATACCATTCCCTATGATGTTCAGTAAGCATTAATATGATCGCTTGGACAATAATTCAGCAAGGTGCTTAGTGCAGGCTTAACTTTAAGCACATCTCTATTTTGGAAAGTATTTAAGCAGGTGCTTAAATTTAATCAAATTAAGAGCTTTATTCTGGTGACAACAGATTAGGAAATGTTTGTAAAGCTTCTTCTATAGCTGGGAGTGAAACTGCCAAATCTGGATGCTATAACCTATATGCAGGTAACTTCAAAAGTCATTTACGCTGCTAAGCAGACTATAAATTGTATACTACCTATGGTTTGTGCTAGGTGTAAGTAGCTGACAATTACAACTCCTATACTAAAACTGAAACAATTTCCCTCGGTCAAGGTTCCTTCCCCACTCTGAACTCTAGGGTACAGATGTGGGGACCTTCATGAAAGACCCCCTAAGCTTATTCCTACCAGCTTAAGTTAAAAACTTTCCCAAGGTACAAACTTTGCCCTGTCCTTGAACAGTATGCTGCCACCACCAAGCGTTTTAAACAAAGAACAGGGAAAGAGACCACTTGGAGATGTCTTCCCCCCAAGCCCTACACCGCCTTTCCTGGGGAAGACTGGATAATAATCCTCACCAATTGGTACAGGTGAGCACAGACCCAAACCCTTGGATCTTAAGAACAATGAAAAATCAATCAGGTTCTTAAAGGAAGAATTTTAATTAAAGAAAAAGTAAAATAATCACCTCTGTAAAATCAGGATGGAAAATACATTACAGGGTAATCAGATTCAAAACATAGAGAATCCCTCTAGGCAAAACCTTAAGTTACAAAAAGACACAAAACCAGGAATATACATTCCCTCCAACACAGCTTATTTTACAAGCCTTTAAACACAAGAAAATCTAATCCATTTTCTAGCTAAATTACTTATTAATTTAACAAGAGTTAGAAGGCTTGCATTCCTGATCTGTTCCTGGCAAAAGCATCAACCAGACAGCCCAAACCCTTTGTCCCCCTCCTCCAGATTTGAAAGAATCTTGTCCCCTCATTGGCCATTTTCGGTCAGGTGCCAGCAGGGTTACCTTAGCTTCTTAACTCTTTACAGGTGAAAGGATTTTGCCTCTGGCCAGGAGGGATTTTATAGCACTGTTTACAGAAAGGTGGTTATCCTTTCCTTTATATTTATGACTCCCTCAGTCAGGGATATTACCAGGGTTCTGATATAAAACAGTACTAAATATAATACTGCTACTAATAAATCTATTAAAACATTAACAGTGCAGTAAAGCAACTATCTCCGTTATTTTTGTTTTTTAAATAACTGTAAATATGTCTTGACATCAGCACATTCCTAAATACACAATGTTCAATTAAATGAGATTATTCAATGTTCCTTTCATGAGCTAACCACAAACATATATATAAATGCAAGCAGGGAACAGAGATAAGTCCTACAGAGGATGCATTAGCTAGCAACAAGGTACACTGAGTTAGGCCTGGATCCAAAAACGGTATTTAGACTTCTAACTTCCTTTGAAATCAGTGGAAGTTAGGAGCCTTACTTTTGAGGATCTGGGCCTTAATGTCTAATTCAGGCTAAGGGAATATTTTCTGATCAAAGCATGAAATATTTGTACATAAGCAAAAGATATCCATGAAAATATTCTGCTTCTTTTAAAGAATAATAATCAAATAGCTTGTTAATAAACTATATAAAGGATTAGTCAATAAGCAAATATTTCCCATGCCCATTGGTTGTAGAATGGAGGCATTATCAGCAGCTCTGTAGTTAACCCTGTGTGTAGATTTTCACTTCAAGCAGTTTCAGATGTTATGGGAAGAAAACAAATGTTTGTTACAAACATACTGACACCACAACTCTGAATACAGATGTAGGTCGTGGCTTTCAAAGGAGCCTATGGGAGTTTCGTGCCCAAATCCCTCTGAATGCCAATGAGATTTGGTTGTCTAATACTTTTAGGCTCCTTCAAAAATCCCAACCTTCATCTTTTGCAAAGTTGCTAGAAGAGCATTCAGCAGCACCAGCCAGGGGAAACCAAGAGGCCCCAATCTGAATATATTTCAAGCACCCAGCACAAACTGGGCATGGGTGAGTTATAACCTTTGGTGCTGGCCTGGGGCCTTCCAGCTCCTTTCCCTGCCTGTGAGAGCAGGGGGCCCAGCGCCTCTCTGGGGCTTGTTCCGTCCCACACCAGACAGGGGCAGCCGGAAGGCACCAGCACCGCCCACTCGAAATCTGCCCCGTGCAAAGGTGGGGGGGGGGGTGGTCTGGCTGGCGGGCTCCGCTCCCGCTGAGTGAGGTGTGGGGGGGGAGTGACCCAATCTCCTGGCTGCTACAAACAGGGGCTGGTGCCGCCGCTTGGGGAGGCGGCCCGGTGTCTTTCACCCCCACGCACAAAAGCCGTCGGCGCCCGCTGCCCCCTGACGCTTCTTCCTGGGCGAGCCCCCCTCCACAAGGCGCCCGGGCAGGCGCGGGGAAGCGGGGACGGAGGACGCTGGTTGCGGCGCCCGCTCCGCTCCGCCCCGCCAGGGAGCGCCCCAGCCCAGGGGATCGGGAGCCGGCAAACCCCGCCCCCGGGCCCCGCTTCCCGCCGCGGCAGGAAGGAAGGAGGAAGGACGAGCGGGTCCCGGCGCCGGTGCTGCCCGCCCGGACCCACAGTACGTGCCGCGGGCCCCGCTCCACGTGGGGGAGCGGGCTGGGGGGAGCCCCCGTGGGGAAAGGGGCGGGGCTGGCCCCAGGGCAAGGATCCAGACACCTGAGGCGGGTGGGGGAGCCCCCGGTTCCCAGCCGTGGCAGCCCATGTACCTGAGCCGCCTGGAAGAGGGGATCCCCGGAGCCGCCCCGGGGTGGTGGGGCAGTGGGAAGAAAACAGAGAAATCTCTCTCTGCCCCCCCCTTCCACCCCGCCTGGGAACTCAGCTGGTGAATGGGGAGGGGGGCGGATACCTTGGGGTGTGAGGGAGACACCCCCCCCGCGCCCCAAAACCATCCCGTGAACTGGGGTGAAGCGATGGCGTGGGGAGACCACCCACCCCTGTGTGAAGTGAGGGGGGAAAGGGACCCCCCCCCGCAAGCCCCTCTCCCTAAGGCAGGGGTGCTTGGGTGAGGAAGAAAGAGAACCCACCACTTCCCACCCCCAAGTGATAACCGCGGCCCCCGTGCTGGGCTCCCCGTCGCAAGGTGGCTGCCCCAGCAATGTTCTGCAATACACCAGGGCCTTGCTGTGTTGGGTGCTGTGCAAACGTAGAGCACGAAAGATGATTTGATGCGGTATGGATGCACCAAACAGCCCTACTAAGTAAGCTTAAAACTGCTAGTAGTTAGTGGCCCGTGACCAGGATTCATCATCGGATTTGATCCGCTGGTTGGATCACTAGCTTCCCTGGCCGGAGCCGGGTACTGAGGGGCAGCACGACAAGAACGCTGATCTGTGCCCTCCAGTGCTAGGCACTGTACGCAAACGCACAATAGGAGATAGTGCCTGCTCCAAAGAGCTTAAACTACCCATTTCCTCCTCATGTGCACACGACTTCCTACCATTGACCTGCCAATGCCCCAAGATAGGACAAAGACCCAAAATAAGGCATATTAGTGATAATTTATTGTTCACCATTACATTTTTTTTAATATAGTACAAATTGACCTTTCATTTTTTCCAAATCCAAAACCTGCATTTTCCCTATAAGCCACTCAAATGCACCAGGTATCCTGGATTTCAAAGCAACACCCTGTATTCTCAGATCCATATAAGACAGGGGTCCCCAAACTGTGGGGCACTCCTCCAGGGGGCACAGAGACACATTTGTGGGGGAAGGGGGCCTGGACCAACCCCAATGGGGGGATGGGGAGAGAGTGCTACCCAGCCCCTCTCTGCCCCCACTCCAGTCCAGCCCCGCTCCCAGTCATGGCCCCACCTGCAGTTCCGGCCCCAACTGCGGCCCCGCTCCTGGCCACAGCTCCACTCCCAGCCATGGCCCCTAGCTCCCAACATGGCTCCACTCTCAGCTAAGGCCCCAGCTGTAAAGGTAACGATATTAAAATGAACATAGGTGGTGATGCACAATGGTAATGCCCCTGGCTCCCACAATGCACAATGCCCCTGCCCACATGTGCGATGCACAATGCCCCTGGCTCCCAACACGGCTCCACTCTCAGCTAAGGCCCCAGCTGCAGCACAAGCCCTGCTTCTGCCCCCCCCCCCCCACCATGCTTCCTGGGGAGGAGAGAGTTTGGGGACCACTGATATAGGAGTAGAGCCTTAGGCTCTTGGGACCTGGTGAACTGTGACTTTATACATGCTACTGCATGGTCTGCGTGGAGTTTTTGTACTGATTTAACTATTTCAGTGTGCGTTTGTGAGGCAAGGGGTTGATTTTCTACCAAAACAGTTAAATGAGTACAGTCTGTAGCCTGGCCACAATTATACCGTTATAATTTATTCCCCTTTCCTTACAGCAGTAAGCTGTACCTGCATAAGCACCTTATACCAGAATAACTGCATGCATATTAGATCGCTGTAACTATGCTGGCTGGATAACAGCCAGGTCCTAACCAGAGAACATTTTTTATATTTACCGACATCAAAAGTCAACCAGAGAACATCTTTAATATTTAGCGATATTCACAAACAGGAATGTAGTCTACAGGAGTTTTTGTTAAAGGGGTATACAGGTGTAATTAATTGGTTCTGTGTTGCACATCTGCATTTCTACAAGAATTATAACTGGGCCATGTTGATATTAAAATTAACATAGGTAGCGATGCACACTGGTAATTAATCAGTAGCTGAGTGACAGAAAAGGCTGAATGGACTTTCTTTAAACATCCTCCTGCCCCCAGATTTTCTAGCACTAGAAATGTAAAATGATCATTTGAAAAATATAAGCTGTTGGTGCTACAACATGGCATTTTGTTCTCACCGAGTTCTTGGAATATGTACAAAACACTTACAGCAATTTCAGTATTGGTTCAAGTAAGTCATTGGTCGATCTGTTCCTTTATCCGACTGTCAGCATTACCAAATACTTAAAGATTTGGTGAAAAAAGTGGGGAAAAAATCATTCCTGACCCACACAAATGATTGATGTATTCCCTGAAATAAAAGTTGTAATGACTTACTTACTAGTTGTCTTATTTTGCAGAGCTACAAAAGTTAGTGTTGGTAAGATTCTCCAGTCCTCTCTAGTTTTATTTACTTCAGTGACTTTCTGTGACAGTAAATTCCACAGATTGACTGTGGGATCTGTGAAGAAGTATTTTAATTTGTTCTAATTCCTCCCCCTCTTAATTATATCATTTTCTATTTCTATGCAACAGTGTGAAAAGAAGTGACTGACTAGCTCTTGCTATGCTCTTCATAATTTTAAATAACTGAAAGTCCCCTCAATCTTTTTTTTTTTCTTTCCTAAATAGTCCTGTTTCTTCAGGTCTTGCCATACTGAGCAGTAAGACTTTTGTTGACTGTAGGCCTTTTCAAGCTGTGCAATATATTTCAAGTGTGGTTACCAAAACTGTGTACAATACTCCACCAGGGGGCTGTGCTCTCATGGTGTACAATGTATCATCACATTTTCAAAATAGCAGGTTTCAGAGTAGCAGCCCTGTTAGTCTGTATTCACAAAAGGAAAAGGAGTACTTGTGGCACCTTAGAGACTAACAAATTTATTTGAGCTCACGAAAGCTTATGCTCAGATAAATTTGTTAGTCTCTAAGGTGCCACAAGTCCTCCTTTTCTATTTTCAAAATAGAGCATTCCAGGATCCAATCCTACGGGATGGTAATCCGTCTCAATTTAACTTCAGTGGGACTGAGTGATGTACAACACTTTGTGGGATCAGACCCATAGTCAGTTATGGCTTTCTTCTTTCATCAGTAATTAATATAAATGGGGAATTATTATATGATTTGAAAGGTTAGGAAAGGAGATAAAACAATGTATCAGAAATGGACCGTTTGTCCTGTGTACAGTGCCTAGCACAATGGGGTCCTTATCCATGACTGGGACTCCTAGACGCTGTGGTAATACAAACCGATAATTATGTGGTTGTGGTTAAAAAAGGGGGGGGAGGGGATTTTCTGTGCCAAAGCCCTCGAAGCAAGAGAACATTTTAATACACAAAAAGGGGCCAAGTATTCTTTGTCCAAGCATTTTATTGTTGCTGCCTGCAGCCTTAAAATCTTTTACTTTAGTCCGCAATCCTGCCAGATGGTCTCTGCCAGCAACTCCCCTATCCCTGCATTGAGACACATTCAGTGACACTCCATATGGGCACCAGGGTTTTCCTGCAGAGATCATTTGGCAAGACTGGGGCCTTAATTTTACTACCATGAGTAGTCCCATTGATTGGACTATTCACCATAGTGAAGTTAAGCACATGTACAAGTGTTTGCAAGATTGGGACCTTAGCTTTAATGCCAGCATGCAAAATTCTGCCCATCCAATTGCCTGGGGATAGTCATTTTTGTATGAGCAAGTAAATTTTTTCATCATCATTATGGTAAGTGCAGGCAAGTAGATTTTTTGCCTGGGCTAATACATTTTCTTGGTAATTTTACAATGATGATTCATACCTTTTAGTAATTTCTTCATTCAAAAGTTAAGTGGTGTTCCCAGCGACATTAGACTATTTTCGGTTTGTGCAGCAACCTCCGTATTTTAACTTTTAGGAATTGAAAAAAGTAGAGCCAGAATTATTTTATTTATTTTCTGCTTCTTGAGTGATTTTGATAACCTATTGAATTTACTTTTGAAGAGCCATTTTGCTTTTTTGATTTCTTATTAATGATTTCTTTGTTGTTTGTATTATGGTGGTGCCCAGGATCAGGACTTTCCTGAGTTAGGAGTTATATTTCTATAAGGGTTCATAAATAATTTATGACAATTATTTTTTTTCTGTTTGCTAAAGTGTATATTTATTTCATGTTCCGTAAGCTGATACATTTTAATGGATTTGTGAGGGCTTTTTCACCCCTCAAAAAGCTCTCTCTATGTGCTTCAGAATATGGTTTGTATTTTTTTGTCACTTATGGTATTAAAAACAAAGTCTCTTTATGTTAGGCTGTGAACCTGATTTTCGTTGATCCTTAAGGCAGTTCAGAGAATGGTTTGGTATGCAAAAGTCATAGGCAGACACAGAATTCTCGTGTGTGTAACTTCCCTAAACTACAGGCGGAAAATGAGAGAGGCAGCTACAATACAGTTTACATTTTAAATATGAGAAAGAGACCTTTCTGTTTACTCTAGTGACTTTGACAGTACCCAGATGTGCACATGAAAGAAATGAAAACTATATACACACACGCACACATGCACGCACGCACACACACGCACCCTATGAGAGAGAAACACAACTTTTAAAAAGATGATAGCATAGGAAAATGTTTTTTGAGATGAACAGAAAGGGGAAGCCCCGCCCATGTCTTTTATATATCTGTAGGCTCGTTATGCTGCAAGTCACTGCAATGTTTCATTAGTGACCTCCGCTCTTTCTTTCCCTCCTGCCTCTCTTGGCACGTTGGAAGGAAGACAATCAATTCAGTCTCTTTGACAGTTTTGAACCTGATTCTGCTAACCTTTACTCATATGAGTAGGCCCATTGACTGAACTGGGACTACTCATGTATGTAAGGACTGTTTGCAGAAGGGTTGGTGAGTGAGGGGTTTGCATATTTGGGCTCTGTCTCCACTATACAAAGGGAGAGCGTTCAGCCTTTGTGCTGATTTGTGGTAGCTTCATGATTTGCATTTCTTTGGTGGTGTCAGGGTGGACTGCATTCAGATCTCTTTTCACTCAGCATTGCTGTCTTAAAGAGACAAATAGTTGCTGCTTCGTCAATAAAGTCATAAATAGGAGGCCAAATGCTGCTCCAACTGTCACCCTGGGCAGCCCCAGTGGGAAGAATTCTACTCCGTTATGCTGGTGTAATCTGGGTTAGCCCCAAAGAAGACAGTGGAATTACTCCTGTTTTACTTTCAGTCACACTGGTGTATCATTTGACCCACTAGTTGGATGGAGTAGCTTGGGAGTGTCAGTTAGTGGATTCTTTGGCCCACACTAATTTTTTTAAAGTGTGGGGAGGGGATGTTAATCTTTGTATCATTCCCCTCTGCTGCCCCTCGTGTCCCTTCAAATGAGAGTTTCTGGGTGATGACACTATGCGGAATGGGTGGTTTGGGTTTGCTCTTTTAAAATCTTGATATAATGAAATAGCTGTCCAATAGTCAGGGCATTTTCAAAATTCCCTTAAGTGATTTGTGTTGTAAATAACTTTGAAGATTAAAAGTGCAATGTATGTGGTAGGTGATAGTAATTTTAAACGGCAGCTTGTAATTGCAGATCTTCTTACGATCTGGTCCTTTCCAGTTTCCACTTTTGTACTTAACCTCCCCTCCTCTCTCCATTCAAGTACTTGATCACCACCTGAATTTGTCTGTGCTTCGTTTAGGTGAAGCAGTGTTGCAATCAGGGAAGCATAAAATGGGAGAAGACTAAGAGGAGATGGTTATACAAATAATTACAACATAGGATTAAAAATAAACAAAAATCTTACTACCTGAGTGAAATCAAAATGGTTTTAAAAATGCTTAACATAAAAGTTTTATAGGATTCCTTCTGCAAACACTACTGAGGGATAAAGTAAAGTCTTTCTCATTTAAGGTCATTCCTTAATGTCATTAATTTTGAAGATACCTAGAAGTAGAGGAAGCCACTACCGTGTGGAGGATAAAAAAAATGGGTAATGAGACCAAGTTTATTTATCTCTTCCTGCTTTCTAGGCTGCAGGGAGATGGGGGCAGAGAAAGTGCTCTGCCCTTTGATCTTTTTGAGCCTTATATATTAATAATCTCAATATTTAAAAGTTCCATACTAAAACCAATTAGAATCAATGAATAAGAGGTTTCAAGTATTCTCTGATTACTCAAAATCCCTCATCTGTTGACTTGACTCTTATCTGTAGCTACTAGGGTTCACTAAAGATGCTTTGTGTATTTAACTATCTTTTTATAAATTAAAAAATATTATTTTCTTTTCTAGTTTACGTTGATCATTGGAGCAAACTCCACAGGTGATGGTAAGCATTCTTTACTTCTACTGTGTATCTGAGAGTATGGGCAATGCACACTTCGTATGTTAACTGCATATACAAGCAAATTGTATTGAACTGTCAGCACATAGTTAAAAGAATTGTATTTTAAATTGCATTCAAAGTAAAATTTATTTATTAAAATAATTGTTTGATTGGTCTCCTCAGAGAAGAATCTAGAGACATATAACAGGAAAATAACAGGGAAATCTGCTGATCACTCTTCTTAGATTTATAGCTTTTATACGGTTGAGAAAAACTCCTCTGTATTTCCATTTACACAACAGCTGAAAAAACACAGACATACAGCTATATTCCATAGTTAGCCTTTAAAGTGTTCCTTTTCCTTCTTCATCCCAATCTAAAACATCCCCTTAATTTTTTTTCAACAGATGGATTTTAAAAATTCAAAGAAAGAGTGAGGTTTTCTACAGTCACTTTTTTTCCCCTTCCAAACACAGAAGTATTTGGATAAGCACCAAAATCACAATTCTATCTACATGAAGTGGCCCTTTGTATTCCTCTCCCCCTAAATTAACATCTGGGGCTAGTCAGATAGACAAATCAGCCAGCTGTATTCCAAAGTTTTCAGTGAGGTCATCACCAAGGCCCATTTTAGAAACATTTTAGTTAAAAGAACTGAAGATATTTTTTGTATTTTAAAAAGATATGTTGTCATCTTGGAGAACACATAGAATATATGAAACTTTCCTTTTTTGTCAAGCTGTATTAACTGCTCTACTGATGTTTCCAAACTTGATGTTTAATTAATTCAGTGGGAAAAATTAAACAAAGTGCTCCAGAACTAACTATGTGAAATGGGAGTTGCAGCTTCTCAGATTTGACCACAGAATCTTCTGGTCTTGACTATACTTTGAAGAACTAGAGTCAGTGTGACATTCTCATTTAATGAAAGCAAAGTAAAAACCTTAAATATCCTGGTTTTTACGAGTTCATTTTCCTTCTTATAAATAAATAAATACACCCTTGCAACAGGGCCAGATTCTCCTCTTACACCAGCATAAATTGGCAATAAATCCCCTGAAGTCAGTGGAGTTTCACCAGCCCAATCGAAGTGCATGAGGAGCATCTGGCTCATAAAGTCTTAGCCAAAAAGACAGATATTTTGTTATGCATTTCCATAAAAATTAATTTGGTGGCTGTTTCTTAAAATCACTTGTATGACACCATAGATTTGTATAAACAGACGAGACACAATCCCTGACTCACTGTTTAAGTGAAATAAGGGAAAAAAAAAAAAGTTTATTAGCTTGAGACTTTGTTCTTGTAACTACTTAAACATAACCTTAAAATTATGTTGTCAGTGTTTTTAAGCCCCTTTTGGAGGGGCGGGGTGCAGGAAGGGAGGTTGGTTTTGGGGAAGGGGTGGTAAGACTTTAGCTATGAAGTGTCGCTAAACCAAATTCATAAAATTTGATTTTTTTTAAAAAATCATTCTTGGTGATTTAGGATGTTAATAATACAGGTAAAAAAGTATGATTTTTTTATCTTGACAGTATCCCTGAAAAAGAAAAGATGACCTTCCACATTTAAGTCTAAAATAGTCCAAATGTTTGGCATAAAAAATAGATCAAGTAAAACTCTCCCTCCCCAGAGACGCACAAAATATCTACACCAAGGACATGCATTATGGGAGGAACATCAGACTTTACACTAAATTTATTGGCTTTTTTCAGTTTAAGACAGACACGTGTTGTTGCATCATCGGTATCCAAATTAATTAAGTGAGACCAACTTGTTTTTAAATCCAACATCACTTTCCATGCGTTCAGAGCCCTTACTCAGAAGCTCTACCCCAAGGACAGACAGTGGGCAAACACCACCCCAAGAGTGATTTAGCTTTCCATTATCCCTGACCTTTCTCCAACACTACCCATGTGTAGCCGAATTAGTAGGGGAGGGGAACCTATTGCAATCTTTTTCTATACAGAATTTACTTTACTATATAGGGCTGCTGCACTCTTATAGAGTTATGTGGCTGGAATAGAGCCATGGGTAAACTGTTGTGTCAGGCAAACAAACATTTTTAAAAACAGTTGTTGCTGTTTTACAACTTGTTCAGATTTATAACTGGAAAGAGATATTTTAGTTTACTTAAGTCAACGAACTTTATTACCCTTTTTCAGATTATAGCTGCTGATGAATAGAGAAGTGAGATTTATTAGCAGCACAGCACTTTGCTACGCACGCTGTGGGGGTTAATTGGGACCTTGACTAAGGTGTGATTGAGACGTGACTAAGTTGCCATCTGATCTCTACCACTGAAATTATTATGGCAAGGAGATGGGGTAAATGCATTACTATATGAAATAGGTGCCTTTATTTAGTACAGAGGAATTTCAGAAGCATTACCCTCTGCCTGTTAACATGAAGCTTGTGTATTCATAGTATGAGGCTTATCCCACACGCACTTTGAAGTAATCAAACCTCATTCAGCTCAGCTTTCACCTGTGTAGTATATGAATTCACATGAATTTATTTGCATTAGTAAGTGTTGAGTATTTATATCCACACAGGCTCGGTTTGCATTAGTACATTTCAACATGTTGCCCCAAAGGAGTGGCTTCCACTGTAATAAAAGCGCTTTGGGGTAAAGCTTTGATGCAGTCATTCTCGTTACTTTCTTCCTTGGTGACTAGTAGAGTGAGCAACATGATCTATTTTTGTATGTATAGTATGTTCACGCTTCAAGCACTTGTCATTTTTCCTCCAAAACACATGGATTTTGCTATCATAGGAAGTAAAGCATTTGGAATGAAAAAGCTTTTCAATTCTAGGAGTTGCCTCAACACTGTCTCTCCCCTCTGCTCCCACTTTTTTAAGGAGGACTCACTGCACGAAGACTCTCACCCATGGTATAATCAACAAGTATATGCAAGATACTGGAAGCATTACAACCAAGCCATGCACTGGATGTACAAGCACAAAAATGCCTACAGGAAAGCCATGGAGTCCTTTCATCATCTGTCATGGTATCCATCCAAAACCTTTCCTACAGGCCGTTACTCGGATTGGGATGGAGGCAACCCATCGGATGCTGACGACTATTCTACCTACACTCCAAACAGCAGAGCACGTTACCCTTCCTGGCCCCAGCAATACCCAGATGCCCACTGCAGTACCAGAGTGACCAAGAATATGGGCAGGGATTCTGAAATGGAGAAGGATTCTGAGTCTGAAGAGGAGATAGAATGCGATCTGAGCAACATGGAGATCACAGAAGAGCTCCGCCAGTATTTTGCACAGACAGAGGCGCACAGGCAGGAGTTACGTAAGTTCAGGCCTTGTTTGTATTATATACTTTCCATCTGAGGCTGTAATGAATATGTCCTTAATGCAACATTAGGGTGTTGCAATATAATACACAAGAGTAATGGGCACTAGAAGTAAATGAACCAGGGAAAATACTTGTGGTTTTTCTACCTAGAACGAATGAGTATGAATGCTTTGGAGAATAGAAGTAGCATGTATTTGTTCAGGAGAAAATGCTTTGTTTAGAGCAATTCTGGGGGAAACTGAGGAATCTGTAGCATTAAGATAGGTAGTGAAAATCTCTATCTTTTTCCTCAGTAAAACAGGTAGTACTAATATTTTAATTATAAACTTTTTTCTATAAAAATGATCCTTTGAGTCATTTCCAACTTTCCATTACTCTGTCCCTACTATTGTTCTGGTTTATCCTACAAATACCCAAGTGCTGAAAAATTTTTGCATTGACATCCAATACTTCCTTTAAAAACCAAAAGATTTTTTTAACATTTCAAAAGTCTTAATCAGTTGATGCTCACATTTTAAATTAAAGCTTAAGTCAGCTGAGTTAAAAAAAAAATGAATGTCAATATTCTCAAAAATCTGGGCTTCTTAAGGTTAAATTTAGTAAAATCCTAGATTCCTGCGAGGTCCAGCCCAAAGGAAATTCCTAGCTATGTTGTTTAATGCTGGAGGAAGCTGCAATGTACTCTTTTTAAGATGGAGTAGCCATTTGCTTTATTTTTCTTTGGCTCACCAAACAGTAAAAATTCCAAGACCTGTCTTCCCCCTCGGTACCCTTCAGTGTTGTACAGGAAATATTTTTTTCTTTCACATTCAAAGCCTCAAGCCCAGCTCTGGGAAAATAGTAGGGGGATATTAGCCAAAAAAATCAGTAGGGGAGTTTTTGCAAGTCTCAGTCCTTGGAGATCTCCAAGTCATCTTTATCTCTGTGAAATCCTTTTAAAAAAACAAAGTGTCTTGTTGTCCTGATTTATAGTTTATTGCATAGACAAATAAAGTTTACACGCAAGTTTATAATCTGTTTTGAGGAAACAATGTGAAAAACATCATTTTCCCCATGTTCTTTGCATGGGAAATATCCAGCATAAATGCTTAATAGAATGAGCTTTCATTGTAATTATGCTATCCTTTCTCTGGGCATTAAGGAGGGAGAGAGGAGGGAAATAATTTGAAAAAAGTGTAATCAACAAGTAGGAAATTTTTATAAATTACATTCTGCTATTTAAATCCTTAGAGTCAAGAATATCTGGAATGCTGAAACACACAGGCTTAAGTGTACACATACAATCAATAGCAAAATCAGAAAGGCTAAGGCACACAATGAGTTATACCTAGCAAGAAATACAAATGGCAATAAGAAGAGGTTCTTTAAAGACATTAGGAGCAAGAGAAAGACAAAGGAAAGTGTAGGTCCTCTACTTAGCCAGAGGAGGAGAGCTAATAGGTAATGACATCAAGAAGACTGAGGTGTTTAATGCCTATTTTACTTCAGTCTTCATTAAAAAGGTTATTAGTGATAAAATACTCAACACAATTCACATTAATAACAACGGAGAAAGAACCCAAGCTACATTAGACAAAGAGGAGATTAAAGAATATGTATGTAAATTAGATGTTTTCAAGTTGGCAGGGCCTGATAAAATTCATCCAAGGGTACTTAAGGAACTATCTGAAGCACTCTAGGACCTTACCCATCCTCAGTGGTTCTGAGAGGACTGAAGAAGGGGAAACATAGTACCTATTTTTAAAAAGTGAAACAAAGAGGACCTGGGGAGTTATATACCAGTCAGTCTAATGTCAATACTTGGAAAGATTCAGGAACAAATTATTAAACAATCAATAGCCAGGATGCAATTGTGAAGAACAAAGCATGCCAAGCCACCCTAATTTCCTTCTTTGACAGGGTTACTGGTCTAGTGGATGCGGGGGGAAAGCAGTAGATGTGTAAGTAAGTAAAGGGCTTGATCTTAGTAAGGCTTTTGACACAATCATGACATTCTCATAAGCAAATTAGGGAAATGTAAATCTAAATGAAATAACTGAGGTGGGTGCACAACTGGTTGAAAGACTGTACTCAAAAAGGAGATATCAGTAGTACACTGTCAAACTGGGAGGGTGTATCTAGTGGGGTCCTGTAAGGGTCAGACCTGGGTTCAATACTACTACATATTTTCATTAATGACTTGGATAATGGAGTGAGTATTATAAAATTTGTGGATGATGCCAAACTGGGAGGGGCTGCAAGCACTTTGAAGGACAGAATTAGAATTCGAAAGGACTTTGACAAATTAGAGAAATGGTCTGAAATCAACAAAATGAAATTCAGTAAAGACAAATGCAAGGTATACTATGTTTAGGAAAGCAAAATCAAATGGACAACTACAAAATGAGGAATAACTGACTAATAGTACTGCTGAAAAGAATTTGGGGATTATATTGGGTCACAAATTGCATGTGAGTCAACAGGGTGATGCAGTTTCGAAAAAGGGTAATATTATTCTGGGGTGTATTAACAGGAGTGTCGTGTATTTAAGACACAGGAGGTAATTGTGCCGCTCTGCTTGGCACTGGTGAGGCCTCAGCAGAGTACTGTGTCCAATTCTGGGCACCATACTTTAGGAAACCTGGACAAATCAGATAGAGTCCAAAAGAGAGCCCAAAAAATGAGAAATATGACCTATGAGAAAAAGTTTTAAGCAACTGGGTATGATTAGTTTTGAGAAAAGAGGACTGAGGGGGGGAACCTGATAATCGTCTTCAAATATATTAAGGGCTGTTATAAAGAGGACAGTGATCAATTGTTCTCCAGGGTAACAAACCTTGTGGATAAGGGGGGAAGCAGTAGATGTGGTATATCTTGACTTTAGGAAGGCTTTTGATACTGTCTCACATGACCTTTTCATAAACAAACTAGGGAAATACAAAGATGGAGCTACTATAAGGTGGGTGCATAACTAGTTGGAAAACCATTCCCAGAGAGTAGTTATCAGTGGTTCACAGTCAAGCTGGAAGGGCATATCAAGTGGGGTCCCACTGGGATCAGTTCTGGGTCCAGTTCTGTTGAATATCTTCGTCAATGATTTAGATAATGGCATAGAGAGTACACTTGCAACCCCTCCATCTTGGTATCATCAAACTGGGATGATACGAAGCTGGGAAGGCTTGCAAGTGCTTTGGATGATAGGATTAAAATTAAAATGATCTGGACAAACTGGAGAAATGGTCTGAAGTAAATAGGATGAAATTCAATAAGGACAAATGCAAACTACTCCACTTAGGGAAGAACAATCAGTTGCACACATACAAAATTGGAAGGAGTACTGCAGAAAGGGATCTGGGGGTCATAGTGAGGATCACGAGTTAAATATGAGTCAACGGTGTTACACTGTTGCAAAAAAAAGCAAATATCATTCCCAGATGTATTAGCAGGAGTGCTGTAAGCAAGACCGGAGAAGTAATTCTTCTGCTCTACTCTGTGCTGATTAGTCCTCAACTGGAGTGTTGTGTCCAGTTCTGGGCGCAACAGTTCAGAAAAGATGTGGACAAATCGGAGAAAATCCAGAGAAGAGCAACAAAAATGATTAAAGGTCTAGAAAACATGACCTATGAGGGAGGGTTGAAAAAAATTGTGTGTGTTTAGTCTGAAGAAGAGAAGACTATGGGAGGATATGATAACAGTTTTCAAGTACATAAAAGGTTGTTACAAGGTGAAGGGAGAAGAATTGTTCTCCTTAATGTCTGGGGATAGAACAAGAAGCAATGGGCTTAAATAGCAGCAAGGGCAGTTTAGGTTGGACATTAGGAAAAACTTCTTAACTGGTTCTGTGGTCTTAACTTGACCTTCCCTGATCACTTCCAGCCCTATGTTTCTGTGATTCAGGGTAATACACTGCTCAAGGAAAATAACATTAGCAACATAATGAAGCTCAGAATAGCGCTTGATGTGCAACCTGTACTCGTGTGAGTTCTGCTGTGGCAGAAGCAGGCCTCTGTCGAAGATCTTAATCTGAAGAGAGAAAACACTTCGAGAACTACAACTAAGACAATTTAGAAATGCAGAACATTTTCCTTTTGTTAATTTTTTTCATGCATGGTGGGTATTTGAGGATTGTTATGATTAAGGCAAAGGCCTGGTACTCAGGAGATCTGGGTTCAGTTATTGGCTCTGCCACAGACTTTGCTGTGTGACCTTGGACAAGTTATTTAATATCTCTGTGCCTCAGTTATAAGCAGGAGGAAGGCCTCTTGGTGAAGGCCCATAGCTCTGAGTTGGGACACCAGGGCTTCAATTCCTGGTTGTAGCACGGACTTATTGGGACACCTTGGTGAGACACTGAGGTCTTGATTGTGCTCTCATACTAGTTTTGGCAGGTGTAATTCTATTCAGTTCAGTGAAGTTATTCTTGATTTAGTATGGTGCAAGTGAAACCAAAATTAGGCTCTTCTGTGTGACCTCAGATTCCTCATCTGTAAAGTGCAGATAATGATGATTACTTGCTTCATAGAAATATTGAAGCTAAATTAATAAAGTACTACATATTTATAAATTGCTCCCACAGCCTCAGATGAAAGATGCTATTTAGGTGCAAACTTTTATTATTAATTCAGAAAATACATTATCTGTACATTCAGGAATAACTGCTTCTGATCAATAAATAAATAAAATAGGTTTTTATAAATTCTGTTGGAGTTGCTCAAAAAAAGAAAGTAGCTACGCAGAGGGAGGGGAAAATATTATGTTCTCTACTGTGTGCTGTAAATGAGTAGTGGTGAGCTCTGTTGAGACCATGTGGATGGTGAAAGATACAGTGCTGCTATGTTTAATTATATAGAGCTATTGATTTTCCTGAGTACTGTTTTTAAGCCAGATGAAATTTATAGAGGGTTCATGAAGCTGAACTCTGTCATGACACTATCTTGTTCTGTCTTTCATCCTTGAAGCTGTATTGATCCTCAAGGAAAGGTAGACGAGGCACATAAAAGTGATCACATTATCTG